AAGGCGATTTTACGGATATTTTACGAGTCTAGGGGGCTTTACGGGCCTTAAACGTCAATGCAACGGGGACCGTTTTGGGGAAAGTTTTTCGGCTGGTGGTGGGGCACCTGTGTGCCGATTTTGAACGAAATCGGGGGGGACCCCCCATTGACCCAAAATTTTGATTTTCCCGTAAAAACTTTCCTATGGAGTAAAAGTGAAATTTTCCTGCAGGACTGTGTCTGGGTAACCGAGAGCTTTCGATTGATACCCATTTTTACCATAGCACCACTTTTTTGTCCGTACAAAGGCGATTTTACGGATATTTTACGAGTCTAGGGGGCTTTACGGGCCTTAAACGTCAATGCAACGGGGACCGTTATGGGGAAAGTTTCTCGGCTGGTGGTGGGGCACCTGTGTGCCGATTTTGAACGAAATCGGGGGGACCCCCCATTGACCCAAAATTTTGATTTTCCCGTAAAAACTTTTCTATGGGGAAAAAGTGAAATTTTTCTGCAGGACTGTGTCTGGGTAAACGAGAGCTTTCGATTGATACCCATTTTTACCATAGCACCACTTTTTTGTCCGTACAAAGGCGATTTTACGCATATTTTACGAGTCTAGGGGGCTTTACGGGCCTTAAACGTCAATGCAACGGGGACCGTTTTGGGGAAAGTTTCTCGGCTGGTGGTGGGGCACCTGTGTGCCGATTTTGAACGAAATCGGGGGGACCCCCATTGAACCAAAATTTTGATTTTCCCGTAAAAACTTTCCTATGGGGAAAAAGTGAAATTTTCCTGCAGGACTGTGTCTGGGTAACCGAGAGCTTTCGATTGATACCCATTTTTACCATAGCACCACTTTTTTGTCCGTACAAAGGCGATTTTACGGATATTTTACGAGTCTAGGGGGCTTTACGGGCCTTAAACATCAATGCAACGGGGACCGTTTTGGGGAAAGTTTCTCGGCTGGTGGTGGGGCACCTGTGTGCCGATTTTGAACGAAATCAGGGGGGACCCCCTATTGACCCAAAATTTTGATTTTCCCGTAAAAACTTTCCTATGGGGAAAAAGTGAAATTTTCCTGCAGGACTGTGTCTGGGTAACCGAGAGCTTTCGATTGATACCCATTTTTACCATAGCACCACTTTTTTGTCCGTACAAAGGCGATTTTACGGATATTTTACGAGTCTAGGGGGCTTTACGGGCCTTAAACGTCAATGCAACGGGGACCGTTTTGGGGAAAGTTTCTCGGCTGGTGGTGGGGCACCTGTGTGCCGATTTTGAACGAAATCGGGGGGGACCCCCCCATTGACCCAAAATTTTGATTTTCCCGTAAAAACTTTCCTATGGAGTAAAAGTGAAATTTTCCTGCAGGACTGTGTCTGGGTAACCGAGAGCTTTCGATTGATACCCATTTTTACCATAGCACCACTTTTTTGTCCGTACAAAGGCGATTTTACGGATATTTTACGAGTCTAGGGGGCTTTACGGGCCTTAAACGTCAATGCAACGGGGACCGTTTTGGGGAAAGTTTCTCGGCTGGTGGTGGGGCACCTGTGTGCCGATTTTGAACGAAACCGGGGGGACCCCCCATTGACCCAAAATTTTGATTTTCCCTTAAAAACTTTCCTATGGGGAAAAAGTGAAATTTTCCTGTAGGACTGTGTCTGGGTAACCGAGAGCTTTCGATTGATACCCATTTTTACCATAGCACCACTTTTTTTGTCCGTACAAAGGCGATTTTACGGATATTTTACGAGTCTAGGGGGCTTTACGGGCCTTAAACGTCAATGCAACGGGGACCGTTTTGGGGAAAGTTTTTCGGCTGGTGGTGGGGCACCTGTGTGCCGATTTTGAACGAAATCAGGGGGGACCCCCCATTGACCCAAAATTTTGATTTTCCCGTAAAAACTTTCCTATGGGGAAAAAGTGAAATTTTCCTGCAGGACTGTGTCTGGGTAACCGAGAGCTTTCGATTGATACCCATTTTTACCATAGCACCACTTTTTTGTCCGTACAAAGGCGATTTTACGGATATTTTACGAGTCTAGGGGGCTTTACGGGCCTTAAACGTCAATGCAACGGGGACCGTTTTGGGGAAAGTTTCTCGGCTGGTGGTGGGGCACCTGTGTGCCGATTTTGAACGAAATCGGGGGGGACCCCCCATTGACCCAAAATTTTGATTTTCCCGTAAAAACTTTCCTATGGAGTAAAAGTGAAATTTTCCTGCAGGACTGTGTCTGGGTAACCGAGAGCTTTCGATTGATACCCATTTTTACCATAGCACCACTTTTTTGTCCGTACAAAGGCGATTTTACGGATATTTTACGAGTCTAGGGGGCTTTACGGGCCTTAAACGTCAATGCAACGGGGACCGTTTTGGGGAAAGTTTCTCGGCTGGTGGTGGGGCACCTGTGTGCCGATTTTGAACGAAATCGGGGGGGACCCCCCATTGACCCAAAATTTTGATTTTCCCGTAAAAACTTTCCTATGGGGAAAAAGTGAAATTTTTCTGCAGGACTGTGTCTGGGTAAACGAGAGCTTTCGATTGATACCCATTTTTACCATAGCACCACTTTTTTGTCCGTACAAAGGCGATTTTACGCATATTTTACGAGTCTAGGGGGCTTTATGGGCCTTAAACGTCAATGCAACGGGGACCGTTTTGGGGAAAGTTTCTCGGCTGGTGGTGGGGCACCTGTGGGCCGATTTTGAACGAAATCAGGGGGGACCCCCTATTGACCCAAAATTTTGATTTTCCCGTAAAAACTTTCCTATGGGGAAAAAGTGAAATTTTCCTGCAGGACTGTGTCTGGGTAACCGAGAGCTTTCGATTGATACCCATTTTTACCATAGCACCACTTTTTTGTCCGTACAAAGGCGATTTTACGGATATTTTACGAGTCTAGGGGGCTTTACGGGCCTTAAACGTCAATGCAACGGGACCGTTTTGGGGAAAGTTTCTCGGCTGGTGGTGGGGCACCTGTGTGCCGATTTTGAACGAAATCGGGGGGACCCCCCATTGACCCAAAATTTTGATTTTCCCGTAAAAACTTTCCTATGGAGTAAAAGTGAAATTTTCCTGCAGGACTGTGTCTGGGTAACCGAGAGCTTTCGATTGATACCCATTTTTACCATAGCACCACTTTTTTGTCCGTACAAAGGCGATTTTACGGATATTTTACGAGTCTAGGGGGCTTTACGGGCCTTAAACGTCAATGCAACGGGGACCGTTTTGGGGAAAGTTTCTCGGCTGGTGGTGGGGCACCTGTGTGCCGATTTTGAACGAAACCGGGGGGACCCCCCATTGACCCAAAATTTTGATTTTCCCTTAAAAACTTTCCTATGGGGAAAAAGTGAAATTTTCCTGCAGGACTGTGTCTGGGTAACCGAGAGCTTTCGATTGATACCCATTTTTACCATAGCACCACTTTTTTTGTCCGTACAAAGGCGATTTTACGGATATTTTACGAGTCTAGGGGGCTTTACGGGCCTTAAACGTCAATGCAACGGGGACCGTTTTGGGGAAAGTTTTTCGGCTGGTGGTGGGGCACCTGTGTGCCGATTTTGAACGAAATCAGGGGGGACCCCCCATTGACCCAAAATTTTGATTTTCCCGTAAAAACTTTCCTATGGGGAAAAAGTGAAATTTTCCTGCAGGACTGTGTCTGGGTAACCGAGAGCTTTCGATTGATACCCATTTTTACCATAGCACCACTTTTTTGTCCGTACAAAGGCGATTTTACGGATATTTTACGAGTCTAGGGGGCTTTACGGGCCTTAAACGTCAATGCAACGGGGACCGTTTTGGGGAAAGTTTCTCGGCTGGTGGTGGGGCACCTGTGTGCCGATTTTGAACGAAATCGGGGGGACCCCCCATTGACCCAAAATTTTGATTTTCCCGTAAAAACTTTCCTATGGAGTAAAAGTGAAATTTTCCTGCAGGACTGTGTCTGGGTAACCGAGAGCTTTCGATTGATACCCATTTTTACCATAGCACCACTTTTTTGTCCGTACAAAGGCGATTTTACGGATATTTTACGAGTCTAGGGGGCTTTACGGGCCTTAAACGTCAATGCAACGGGGACCGTTTTGGGGAAAGTTTCTCGGCTGGTGGTGGGGCACCTGTGTGCCGATTTTGAACGAAATCGGGGGGGACCCCCCATTGACCCAAAATTTTGATTTTCCCGTAAAAACTTTCCTATGGGGAAAAAGTGAAATTTTCCTGCAGGACTGTGTCTGGGTAAACGAGAGCTTTCGATTGATACCCATTTTTACCTCCTTGTGACGTCATTTCTAGGGGAAAACGGGTCATAAAGGTTTCCCTCTACCGGGGCCTTTTTTCCCCCTACCGAATCTGTGCTGTGCTGAACCTGTGCTGAATCTGTGCCAACTTCCGTTACATAAATCGTATGCCATATTTATGAGACGTATGCATACCTACAAGTTGTTTTCGCTAACTCCATGCAAAAGTTCACACAAAGGTCAAAGTTCCATTATAAATATGCAACGCATTACTGACCAAATAAAAGATCGGTTTCAACAAAAAAAAACAAGTTTTGACATTGACGACATTGATGACATTGACGCAGCTGAAAAATATGTGTGTGCTGGCGAAAGGCTGTGAGTGTATATGCCATGGCAAAAAGTGAGTTTTTTCTTATTTTCTTCTTATTAGCATCAGTGTCGAGGCGACATTCTTCCATGGCTGCTCCCGGCACTGATGGAATCACACTGTTTCTCATGTCCTCCGTCGGTTGTCACACAAGGTCATGTGGACCCGGTTCACCTTCCGAAAAAAAACTTGCTCTCCTGCTGCGCGGCGTACTGCTAATTTATTCCACGGCGGCTCTCTCGCGGCCTCGGTAACAGACGAGCCGACTCCCACTCCCTGCCGCTCCTTTCCGCCGAACGGGCCCTCTCCTCCCTCCCTCTCCTCCCTCCCTCCCTTTGACCGCCGCTGACTGCGTCTCCCGCTATCTGACGGCGTTTCCTGACCAGTCTCCTGGTGCGTTTCAGACCCGTTCATCTCGCCCCGACCGACGCGGTCAGCAGCGCCGACCGACCTCTCCGGCACTACCGCCCTTCCCGGGAGACAGCGAGGAGCGCCTCTCCTGCCGGTGCCCTTCCCCCGCCGCCGGCGACTACCGACAGCACAGAGACTACGACCGCTGTCCGCAGCGAGACTACGACCGGTACCCACAGCGAGACTACTCTCCGCGCCCGGGCCCCAGCCGATCCGTAAACGACGGAAACTGCGGCGACTACAACCACTCCGGCGACCGGCGCTCGAAAAATCTCTACAACTCCGGTGAGTGCTGCCGCTCAGGCGACTACAGCCGCCCCGGCGACTACTACCGCCGCGACTACGAGGACTATTTGAGCCCCGACGACACCGAGCCCGGCCGGGTCTCCGACCGAAACTACCGAGCTCCGAGCACCGACCAGGAAAGGAGGCGACGGGCCGCGACCGCTGCCGACCGCTCATCGAAACGGTACGTCACTACTTTTATGCAGCCTTTGTTACGTGTCAACCATCCATACACGACAATGCTTCACCTCGCGCGCAAATGTGTTCAATTCATTACCCGTTAAAACTATTTTATGTTTTCATTAATGCAGTGGTTCGTTTGCTCTAGAAGTCCCTTTTCACGAACTTCTATGATTTGCAAGTCTATTGTTACATTTTAAACCGTTCTACGTTGTAAGTAGGGCAGCTCTGTACCGTCCAGCGCCGGTGAATTATCTGAGAGGATGTCTGTCGTCATTATTCCGCAAACAGTCATCCCAGACATCTGGTCATTCATCCCTTTTCCGGCTACCTCCGTGACGTGTTGCACTACCGGCGCAGAGGGTTCTCAGCATTGTGCTCACTCACGGGCTCCATGACGCACATCCTCACACCATGGCGTGGTAACCGACCCATTTCCCCGGGGTCAGCTCATGAGTCGAGATGACGAAACTCACCTCGCGGCTGCCGGAGCCCGGGATCCGCCCAGATTCGTATTGATGATACTATGCGGCCGATTCCTGTGAAAATTACACCTTGGTCCGCAGTAGTCTGTTGTGCCCGCGCTGACCTTGGCAGGGGGCCACCGGCCACCGGGGTTCCTCATTAACCCGCGCCCTGCTGGGGGGGGTGTTTGAACACCCCCCCTTGTGGTTTTTCGCGAATATCTCAAAAACGGCGGCGCGAGGCGCCGCCGTTTTTGGTACACCTTATCATACATCAATTCTACACATGTTGTGAAAATTTCAGACCAAGGTCATTCAAGGTCAGGTCACCAGGTCACTTGAAGTGACCTCACCTCATAAAAAGTTTCAATGTCTGTCATAGCCACACCGAGTGACCGATCGCTTTGAAACTTTCAGCGATTGCTAAGAGCAATAGCACATACAAAATGTATATCTCAGAATTTTGATATCGATGACCTAAGGTCAGGTCAATTTTGCGATCTCCCCATTATAAGTCAATGGGAGAAAATTGAAATGCGCCTCTTTTGGACGAAAGACATTATAAACACTCCCAAACACTGAATTACAAGTGGTTTAGACACACTGAACATGAAAATGGTGTCCGTGACCCCTGTTTATGCCCTGAGGTCATCTTAGGTCACGAATGGTATCTAACAGTTTTTCGCAAATAACTTTTGATAGAGGCATGCTATAGCGATGAAAACGCACTAGCTGTGTTCAGCTCGACGATACGGATCGACTGATATGCAACATGACCCTTTCAGGTCAGGTCATGACCTTGACCTGAGGTCAAATTTTTAAGTTGACCTTTCAAGGTCAAATTATAGTTCATTCGATGCGTCTTGACGAGAGGAACACGATGACGGTAAAAGTAAGCTCGTGCAAGGCTTGGGTCAAAAGTTATTGCAGAAAAACACTTTCCGAAAAAATCGGCTATTTTTGCAGTTTTTGCCCCCTGCAGGCAAAACCGTTGACGTTAGGTCAAATCTGAGAGAATTATTCAGAAAGGGCGTTAATAGGGCTATCGGATGCACTTTTCTGCGGCGCTGTAGCTCTATTGGTTCCCGAGTTATGCGTTGGCATCTTGGAAATTGTCGACATTCGACCTGGAAATCGGCGAAATTTTGCTTTCAATGACCTCTGGTGACCTGACCTTTGACCTGACCAAAAAATTGACCGAGGTGATTTCGTCATTATTTTTGACGCTCTTTCGAACGCCGCCTTCCGCGTATCGCTACGTGGCCCAGGGGCCGAGTTAGAAGGGGGGGGTGTTCAGACACCCCCCCCCCCCCCCAGCAGGGCGTGGAAATCCAGGACCCCCAGCCGGGCGCGGGTTAACAACTCATGGGGGAGGGGCTGCTGGCCGCCAGACTGGCAGCCCCTCCACGAGACCTCCGAATACGATACCGGCTGCATGACCGATGTGTCCGCGTCTTCGTGTCTCTGCAATGATGTATCGCCAAACTGTCCGATCGGGCCTGTTGTCATGCCAGTCACGGCTTTGTGCCAATGTCGGAGCTCGTCTTTATGACGGAGGGCGGGGACGCGCCTGACGTACCGGCTCCGTATACTCCCGTATTCGGTGCACGAGCTCCTGCACGGCTTGTCCTGCACCATGCACGGCGATCGTTTCCCGGGATGGGATAATTGGAAACGATCCGCAGCGCTCCTCCTGAACCGATCGCCCAACGCATCAGTCGCTCGTTCCACGGCCTTATACGCCTTATGGAAATGCGCCGTTTGGGGTAGTGGCAACCACTGTGGTCAGGACGAGTCGTACGTGATGTGTGGCATTCTACTTTTAGGTATTTCGCTCATGAATTTATTGTGCAATGTGCATGGTGTCTGGCCGAGCCACACTTGGTCTGCATCTTTTTACAGCGTTAAGCTATTCATAAGGTTTGAACAAGGTGTCCGATCGTCCATTCCTGCATGACCAGCGAGCGATTTTGACGTTTATCCTTCAATCAGTCCACGGCTTCCGTTTCTTACACGGTGCGCGGTACGCACACTCTCCCTTCGATCAAGGCTATAGCTCCATGGTTTCACAGTTGTTGAACTGAAAACACACGGCTGTCTTCTGCTGGTAAAGTTAACTTTGCCTTGCCTGTCACACCTCTCACCTACTCCTTTGTTCCGTCACCCCGTTACGTTACCGTCACCCCAGGTCTCCCTCACCTGCCCCTCACCTGACCCTGTACCTCTCCCTTACAGGGAGGCCGCCCTCTCACCGAGTCGACCCAGCCGCCGAGGAGACGACCGGCGTTCGCTCTGCACGGTACCCTACTTTGGCTACTCGACCCTCGGAGGAGCCCCTCGCCAGGAACCGACCGATACCCGGTGAGTGTCATCCGCTCGGCACGGAGGGACGCTGGCCGCTGGGTCACCTGCCCGGCACGGAGGGCCGCTGGGTCGGCTCACCCGCCCCCTGGGAGGGTCGCTGGGTCGGGTCACCAGGAGGGACGCTGGCCGTTGGGTCACCAGCCCGGTACGGAGGGACGCTGGGTCGGGTCACCCGCCCGGTACGGAGGGCCGCTGGGTCGGGTCACCCGCCTGGCATGGAGGGTACTCTCGGCTAGCTCGACTGATGAGCCTGGTTATAGACATCTAAACAAACTTCAAATGATAATGCATATTTGGCATATCAAAAGAAAAAAATATAATTTTTTGGCATACAAGATTAGGAAGCGATCCTTTATTAAATTTATTGAAATATCAGAGTAAGACCTAAATCCATGGGAGCTTTCGTACGAGTATGTATAGCACACTGACCTATCAGACGCTTTTACGAGCGAAAAGGTAGGTCTAACTAGTCTACAAGGAAAATACTAACTGGTTCATATGCCGTGTCTAAGCATGTCGCTGCAATTCGTGAGAAGGTAATTATGGAACTATAAAATACCGCACAGCTATCCATCATATTTTCCTTCCTAACAATGACATTGACAACAGTCGCGCATGATAATATTGAGAACGAATGGGACTTAGCGCTATATTTAGAACCATGTTTTGGTACAAAGCAGCATGGCTTTCATCACTTTCCTTATAATTCATGTTATTACTCTATGCCCTCACATTCCACTCGTTGCACTACATAGAAGGATAAACCGTTAAGCTTGCTTTAATTTTGACATTATTTCATTATAACGTTACGTTTTTAGGAAAAATGCAAACAGAGTTGCACGCAATATTGATAAAGACGAGGTCTTAGAACTATCAACATATCCGTTGTTTTTCAATGACATATACCTTATTTTATGTTCTTTTTCCTGTAATTGTGTTTTACTATTAGTATTCAGCTTAGTTTGAGCATTTTTCATGGTACGATTGAGAACCGTGTCCGTGCTCCCGGATGTAAAGCGCTCGATCTCAACGGATGTTCGACCGTCCCTGATTTCTCGGTAGGCTGGTATCTGTAACACAGACTGGGCTCTGTTTCCCCGTACACTCTCTGTCGTTCGTAGATTTCCTTCGTCGCGACATTCCATGTCACAGTAATCCCTATCCTGGCACGGACGTAGTTCATGGTTTTGTGGCACATTGCATCAGAGAATGATAATGCTTGATGTTGAGAATCTAGGATCCGCACAATTTTCTAGTCAGTACCCAGCACGTACCGCCTAATCGTATACCATTTGTAGGCGCGCCTAATTTGCTCCTTCTACGGAATACCTGCCCTACCATTGCGGCATTTGTAAAGTTCATTTGAACGACACCTAGCTCGCCTCGCCGTTGATCAATACCTGCTCCCAAACAATCAGTTCAGTTCCAAGAATATTGACGGCTACGAATGTTGGACAGCGACTAACTATATACGTGTTGTTCCATCGATATATTGTCCTTCATCTCCGCTGCCCAACTCCGAACAGCACCGAGCGACAGCACCATTAAAGGGACCCTCCCACCTTAACATTAGTTTTGAGTTGAGATAGCCAAATTGGTGGCCATGGCCTGAAAATACCGGTTTGGGCATTCACAACATCGAAAAATGCTTTAATTCGGAGATATGGAATTTCAAACTTGCAGTTCTCGGATTCTAAGGGGCTAATGCATTGGTATGCCCCCTTAGAATTTGTGACGTCAGCGGAGATCTAACGATTTTTAAATCTTTTACTAAAACGTTTGGCAGCACGCGGTGGTATATGCTGCTTTGCGCGCAACAAATGCCGCACTTTCAAATAAAGTCGCTAGGAACAGCGGAGATCCCAAAAAGTAAACAAAAGTAAAAGTCTAATATCTTGAAAACCGGTGAATATTTTTCGATGAAATTTGGTAGATATTCATTTTTGCTCTTTCTGAACCGAGCGACATCACTTTCATGCCAATTCATTAACTTTTTTGAAGGTGGGAGCCGGGAGGGTCCCTTTAACACGCGCACTGCAGGGGGGGTGTTTTCAACCCCCCCTGTGGTTTTTCGCAAATTGCGAGAAAACGGCGGCGCGTAGCGCCGCCAAATTTTGCATACCTGTTCTCACAACTTTTGCACACCTTGAGTAAAAATTTTGACCCCAGGTGACCTATGGTCAGGTCACCAGGTCAGGTCAAGTGACCCTACCTCGAAACATAAATTTCGAAGTTTGCAATCCCACCAAGCCCACAGTTGTTGAGATATGATCTTGAAACCCACAGGAAATAGTAAAGTCATCACGAGCTACAACTTGTATATCTCGGAATTTTTATATCGATGACCTAAGGTCAGGTCATTTTTGCGACCGGCCCATTATAAGTCAATGGGAGAAATTTCAACTTACTCTGAATGCCATCCTATGACTTCAACACGCTCAGGATCATAGTATTACAGGTCCCTGTTGGTGATTTCACCGAAACATATCACTTATGACCTTTGGAAGGTGATATCCAGGTCATCTTAGGTCACCTGAGGTCACCAGCGGTTTTTCTTCAATAACTTGAGATTGAGTAGAGATAGAGACTCCGTTCGACGTTTATCGTGCTTTTCTCGTCAGTGCGGATCGAATGATATGCAACATGACCTATTTCGGTCAGGTCATGACCTTGACCTGAGGTCAAATTTTCAACTTGACCTTTCGAGGTCATATTATATATCATTCGATGCGCCTTGACGAGCTAAGAACGATGGCGTTCGAATCGATCCTCTGTCTTGTGTGCAAGACAAGTTATTCAAGAAAACTACCGCGAAATTCCTGTTGTGAAAATCGTAACATTTTATCTTCGGTGACCTCTGGTGACCTCGTTTTTGACCTGACCCAAAAATGATCTTAGTATTTCTTGTCGATCTCATCTTAACCTATCCAACGCCGTTTACCGCTTGTCGCTACGTTGCGCCGTTTTCGAGATCTCAGGGGGGGTTGTTTTCAACCCCCCCCCCTGCAGTTCGTGTTCGGCTCAGACCCGCTATACAGTGCGCGTGTTAAACCTCTCCCAGCCTCCGCCGCCCCCCCCCCCCCCCGCAGAATATCGGCTGCTTCTGACGACGTCGTGGCTTGCTCTGACGGTCCCTGCGGCTCGATCTGACCCCAAAGACCTCCATTGCCCCTGCCAGCCTCTTCAGCCTCCTGCCGACTCAGAGGTCCTCTAGACTCGACTCCCTGTGGCTATCGCTGACCTTGAATGATGTTGCACCCTCAAGTGACCTATGTTGACGAGTTCTGTTCACTCGGGCAGGGTTGGTGATTTCTCGTCCGGACCGAACCACTCTCCTGACACCATGCACCGCCGCTACAACCGACGGATGGGCGGCAGCTACGCCGGCTACGCCAGTGAGATGGCGTCCCGCTTCCGGCGCGATAACGACCGCCGCCAGCAGCCGTCCGAAGCAGGTACGTACCGCCGCCAGCAGCCGTCCGAAGCAAGTACGTACCGCCGCCAGCAGCCTTCAGGTACGTACCGCCGCCAGCAGCCTTCAGAGGCAGGTACGTTCGTACCGCCGCCAGCAGCCTTCAGAGGCAGGTGCGTACCGCCGCCAGCGGCCTTCAGAGGCAGGTGTCCAGGGATGTACCGCCAACAGGCGTTGGGGCCAGGTAGGTAAAGGAGACGAGAGAATTTTAACGGGACGGGACGGGACGGGACGGAAACGGACTGGAACGGGACTGGTCGGGATAGAGGGAGACACAAGCCGAGCCAGGTGGGTGAATGGAACGGGACGGGACGGTACGAAATGGCACAGCTCAGCATGGCACGGCACGGCACGGGACGGGACGGGAAGACGCGAGACAATTATGGACAAAAATCATGTAAATGAATTCTTCCCATTGTTCTCATTCAGCAAGCACGGTATTGCTTAGCGAGGCTTCGCATGGGTGCAATTATTGTTAAATATCATCGCTTAGCCTGCCATTTAAATGAGACTGGAATAAAGGAAAATGGCATTAGTTGTCACGAACTATCGCCGACAAATGTCAAAGAAGGGCAGACGGAGAACAATCGCATGATGCTATTTGACAGAATTCCGCAAAAACATGCCGTAGCGAATAAGACGTCACGAAGAGCCCGCTGCTCGCCATGCGATGCCAGATCACAGTTGATAATGTTTATGTTGCACAAAGTTCAACGGGTTAATTACGACTGAACATTCCCATCACTACGCCAAAGAGACAAAGAACCTTCTATTGTTTTCGTCGGCCACCAATGTTTGCTCAGGCGATAGCGCCATGATAGAATTTTAGAACATTAGGTATATTTAGTCATCTAATGAGGACATAAGCGAATGCATATGTATACCATGCACCCTCCCTGACACGTTATACTTTTATGGTACATGTGGTATTTCTCTGCATACAATAAACACACAACACACAATGCATAATGCATATCACGAGATGGACGGGACCTGCACAGCTATATAATAATGCACATACGAGACGAAAAGGACTGAGACAGTGACGGACGTGACGGAACGGACGGAACGGACGGAGACGGTGACGAACCTGACAGAAGTTATTGACAGAACTGAGACATTGACGAACGTGACGGAACGGACCGAGATATTGACGGACGTGACGGGACGGACCGAGACATTGACGGACGTGACGGAACGGACCGTGATATTGACGGACGTGACGGAACGGAACGAGACATTGACGGACGTGACGGAACGGACCGAGATATTGACGGACGTGACGGGACGGACCGAGACATTGACGGACGTGACGAGCTCAGTGACGGTGACCGACGCCCACCCCGTGACGCGTGAATCGAGCCCCAGACGTGCGGCGTGCCTGCTGGGATGCTGCCAGCCGCAGCTCTTGCTATGAATATTGACCTGAAGACATATAAAACCTAGACTGCTTTAGATTTAGATTTAGAAAATAGCACGAACGGCAACATACCTCACACCTGCATTGGTTGGCATCTTTTACAGCTCCGTCGTTGCAGCTGAGTCAGTCGCATTTTGTATGTAGGTATTGCTGTTTATAGCAAGTTATTAGGCAGTTTTAGATAAAGGTTTTGTTTACGCTAATGATACCGACTTTTGAGTACACCTATCGTACAAGTGTACCTACGAAAGAGTTGGCTATTTTATTTTTGTTTGTTTTGCTTCATTGCACGTTTGCCCTTAAATACATGTATAGCATATAGCTACTTACAGTTGCTTGTTTGATATATCTATGTTTAACACGCCGAAAGTTGTAATACACATGTATGTCGTTCGACTCTTATTTGTCATATAGCTCACCACATGGGGAACTGGATAGTGGATAAAATCCACGACGCCTTCCACTTCCGAAACATGTGAACCACTGGTACTGTAATTATGGATGGTCATAAGATGTTATCACGCACTAATCAGTGGCTTCTGTATGCACTCTGTTTTTTTGTCAACCAAGTCAGTAGCTCTCTGCATCTATCAGCTCAACAAAGCATCTCGAGTGGTATGGCTGCTACTTTTCTGCAATTATCTGCAGCTATCTTCACCAACTAATATAGCCTCTACTTTATATCTAAAGGCAATATTTTTGCCAGTGCAATACGAAATGACATATTGTTTTTCATTCACATTGACACTCAATTTTAGTCGAAGTATTGCAGTAGATCGTGTGCAGATCTACTGCTGCAAGCACTGCAACAAATATCCTGCCTATGATTCCTATCTCTTTTCATTCCATTTATCTCCCGTCCTATATTTTCTACCCCGTGGACACCCGATCCACTTCTACCCAGTATGGACGCTCCGTTTGATTATATCTTCCTGGTATGGGCGCTCCGTGGGGTCATTTTCGCCCGGTATGGGCGTACCGTTTTCGCGATGGCCCGCCTGTCAGGCCGCTGACCTTATGCAGGTGATGGGTGCACGCGCGTCCAATGGTCCACGAGCGGCTCGTGCGCCGGGCACCGTAGGAAACCAGTTTCGGGACCTTCGGCGGGGCGCTGCGGCCATGCGGCGGCCTGCGGGACTGGACAATGGGGAGGCCAGTGGCGGAGGGCGCAGGCTGGACAGTTGTGGGTGGAGGGGGCACCGGTGTGCACGCCACGCCGGGACGCCGAGACGGGTGGCGAGAGACGGGTGACGAGTGACGGGAGACGAGTGAGGTGTGAGGGAGTGAGAGAGTGACAAAGGGACAGCACCCGGGGCGTGTGAGGGGTGTGACTTCTTCAGCTGCTGGTCTCAGGGGATAAGGCTGTGAACGTGAGATGTGAGTTAAAGTGAGAAGTGAGCCAGTGCCGTGGTGAGGTGCGAGTGCTTGATACTCTCAGTCTGGCACTGATCTGGGGGTCCGCTGATACTGCTACTGAGCCCCTCCGCGCCGTACCCGGTACCTCGTCATGTACCGGTACCGGCGATACCAGGCAGCGGCGCCGCTCGCCCCCAGCAAGGACAAGTGTGAGTGCGTGGGAGGGAAGCGCCGAGCGACCCAGGTGCGACCCACGCCGCCGCCCGCGCGACCCGTCCGACCCGCGGCGCCGCCCAGCCATCGACGGCGGCCGCGCGGCGTGCGGGCCAGTACTTTTAAATAGTTAGTGCTGTCGTTAATTATGTCTGGATAGGTGGAGATGTAGGTGGGGGGATGTTTAGCTCGATGAAAAGTGTTTTTTTTTGTGTTTCATGTTTTACTTATCGCACCATGCGTGCTCGTGAGGCACATATCTCAAATTTGGGATTTTGCTCCCATTACTACAAACAGCGCTATCACCTTCGCTGCTTTCTGATTTTCCTCTTCATCTAGCATCCCATGTCCAAATAAATTCACTTGCCAGAATTATCTGTTTGCCTCATTCATAATTCCTATCACAGCCGAATCGAACCCAAACAATGTCACGTGAGTCCCGGCTGCGGCCGACCGGCCTTGGCGGCTCGTCGATCCACCACCTGTTCGCTCTGCGGGCGCCTGTGGGCCCGCTAAGGCCGTCCCCGCCCCCGTCTCTCCCGTGTGCGTACTCAGCACCGTCAACTACACCGTGGCGCCGTCCGATTTGGGCAGCGCCGTCCCATAACTCCCCGCTCGCCTGGTGTCTCCGCGGGTTGACGACTGCCGCGCTCGGTAAAAAGTGGGCGGCGGTGACACGCGAGCTCCGGCTGACGGCACGGGCTGCAGAAATCCGAGCTGCCGGCTCGAATGTGACTCCCAGCTACTGTGGTAGCCGCGCCAGAGAGGTGTTGTTTGTACACATGAGACGGCGGGATCGGGTAGTCGTCACGGCCATGGTCATCGGCTGAACGTGACCAAAGGTGTGCAATAAGTGCATAGGTGCTAGTACTTACAGCACGGACTGCTGTATTGTCTGCCGAGAGGTAAACACAGTGACGTGTCACACTGTACGAGCTGTACTGTTCCAGTGGGCCCACCCTTCGACAGATCTTCGTTTTTATCATTCGCCTTTTCTTAGGAGCGGAGATGATATAAATGCCTACTATTTTGTGTTATTGTGCATGACACGCAGCATCCCTATAGATTCTAGACATTGGGCGTTAGACTTGGCCCATTGAAGTCGCCTGTGTCGCTTCTGTCACCATCGGGGTGCGTTGGACACCCCTTCCTTGCCCACCTGGAGTCGCCGCTGCTTCTGCAGACAGCACTGGGGCACTCAGTCCCCAATTACAATACATTACATCCGGGAGCCGCAGGTATCTGCCGGACCGCTCAAGGCCGCAGCCCTGTGCACGAGATATCGAGACCCTCGCCCGGCGCCAGCGGCGGGAGGTGGCTGGGTCCCACCAGAAGCCGTCCCATCCCGTTAGATGTGACGGGGACCCATCAGCAGCCGTCCCACCCCGTTAGATGTGACGGGGACCCATCAGCAGCCGTCCCACCCCGTTAGATGTGACGGGGACCCATCAGCAGTGGTCCCGTCCCGTTAGATGTGACGGGGACCCATCAGCAGTGGTCCCGTCCCGTTAGATGTGACTGGGGATCCACCAGCAGTCGTCCCACCCCGTTAGATGTGACGGGGATCCATCAGCAGTGGTCCCGTCCCGTTAGATGTGACGGGGACCCATCAGCAGTGGTCCCGTCCCGTTAGATGTGACTGGGGATCCACCAGCAGCCGTCCCACCCCGTTGGATGTGACTGGGGATCCATCAGCAGTGGTCCCGTCCCGTTAGATGTGACTGGGGATCCATCAGCAGTGGTCCCGTCCCGTTAGATGTGACAGGGACCCATCAGCAGCCGTCCCATCCCGTTAGATGTGACAGGGACCCATCAGCAGTGGTCCCGTCCCGTTAGATGTGACGGGGACCCATCAGCAGTGGTCCCGTCCCGTTAGATGTGACTGGGGATCCACCAGCAGTCGTCCCACCCCGTTAGATGTGACGGGGATCCATCAGCAGTGGTCCCGTCCCGTTAGATGTGACGGGGACCCATCAGCAGTGGTCCCGTCCCGTTAGATGTGACTGGGGATCCACCAGCAGCCGTCCCACCCCGTTGGATGTGACTGGGGACCCATCAGCAGTGGTCCCGTCCCGTTACATGTGACGGGGGACCCATCAGCAGTGGTCCCGTCCCGTCCTGAGCTGGATGGAGTTCCGCCAGCCCACCGGCCATCTCGTCCCGTCGATGTCTCTGAGGTCCGTCCAGCGGCGGCCCCTTCTCGTCCTGTCCTATGATTGATACGAGGATGGCGGGGCGGACGGTGTATCTGAATCGCAACACGATAGGCCTACATAATTGGTAAACACTAAACAATGCTACCTCAAACACCAGTATGTATGTTAGTACACCAAGCACCAAAGGCATTGTAATGCGCGAGACAGACTCGATGACATTGTAGTCGTCAAGTTCGACTATACCTTCTACTAAAATAAAGTTTATAGCTGATGCGCCGTAAAGATAGTGTTCTGTCTGTGGCTTCCATAACTATGATTCCTTGGGACATAGGCGACCTTGGATATCTTCCTAGTAAGCATTCACTACATTTCAGTATTGTCCGTATGTAAACAAGGGGACGTGAAGCCAAGGGAGTCGTAGAATGCTGGCCTTTTACGTGACATTTTATCAACCAAACATGGCTTTGGTAACAAAAAAGTTGCAGCAACAGGCTAAATGATATCAATTACAATCCCGATCACCTGATATTTTGTTATTTATTATTAGCTGAAGATTCTTGCTGTTCTACATTTAGCTTCGTAACATTCGTAATTTACCTAAAACGTATACAAGAGATGTAATAAGCCACAGAATACAAAACACACCGTGAACATGGTACCTAACTGCTTTCCCATGAGCGACAGGTTTCTGTCCTCTCAGTTTCCACCCGTCAGCGAAAATCGGCCACCTGACTCTTGAGCGGGCCACCAAATTGCATCGGGACAATCATCCAGGTCCTGTCACAACCTTCTGACCATTTGTCAGCTGAATTAGTAGGTAATGCTGTTTGAGTGGACTAAACAAGACACTGGCCGTCCCCCCTCGGAACTTCGGAAATTTACAGATGGACGAATTGTCCGATGGGATGCGCAAAGAATCTGGTTATAATAATAGTGATCTGACCTGACCTGATCTGCCCTGCCCTGTCCCGCAGTCTCGGAGCTGCCGCACGTGAAGCGTGTCGAGTTCTACGCGCCCCAGAACGCGCGCGTGCACCACACGCTCAAGTACGAGCTGGTGGGCGACCGGTACCGTGCCGACCCGGTGCTACGCCGCGGTCAGCCCTTCTACCTGGCCGTCCAGCTGGACCGACAGATCAACCCGGCCAGCGAGAAACTCTACGTGGTCTTCACTTACGGTGAGTCGAGGCTGCACGGACGGCGCTGTGCTCTCTCTCTCTCTCTCTCTCTCTCTCTCTCTCTCTCTCTCTCTCTCTCTCTCTCTCTCTCTCTCTCTCTCTCTCTCTCTCTCTCTCTCTCTCTCTCTCTCTCTCTCTCCTCTCTCTCTCTCCCTCTCTCTCTCCATTTAGCTCTCTCTCCTCTCTCCCTCTAATCATCTAATGAGTGGAAGGTAGAGTAAGTTGTAAGGCAGTAAAGTAATAGCGGCGCGCACGTCATTAGAGCGCATACGATCACCGACGGGTTTATTGACCGATGCTACGTTAGTCGACCCACTGCTGTGCTGACACCGCGACACTCATATGTCACTGTCCGCTGTGTCAGACGAGGGTGGCTGGCCGTTTTCCGGTCAGCAACAGAGGGTGTTGCAACTTGGAAGGCTAATGTCGCACGGGCTACGTCTGACTAAGTTCGTCCCCGTAACCAAATCAGTTGTGCTCGTTGAGGGTGGTCCACTCTTTGCACTGTGATGCACTGACGGTGATTGATCGAATGGATGACGTCCTCTGAAGTCATCGTCACCACCTGCACCGTGCAATGAAGACATTTATCGCCCGTAAAACAGTCACATGGCTGGTAATCAAAAGGCCTCGAATGCTGGGACTGCGAGCCAAAGTTCCTATTTCCGTCTGATATACCTGTAGCTTATCAGATTATTTTGATTACATTTAATAATGTTGCTTGAAAACACAATAAATCCATGTTTTATTCTAAACAGCGAAATGGAAACAACAATTTCTGGTATCTCATCTGATGTCCGATATAAACAACAGCCAGCCGCTCAGCGCGAAGCTCACGACAAATGACGATTGGAATGCATCTGAAACTTAGCAATCCGGCAGCACACCCCAATGATAGCGTCCCCCTATGGTCTGTCGCTCCCGTGTGCAGCACAGGACTGCGGGCGGCGGTGACGTCTGACGTTCGTTTGCTGGTGCCGCAGGACCCCGGGCGGCGGTGACGCTGGGCACCAAGGTCTACCTGGTGGCCAATAAGCGGGAGTTTACCAAGGAGAAGCAGCACTGGGACGTCCGCATCCACGGAGTGGAGGGCGACACACTGGTGCTGCAGGTCAGTGAACTATATCGCTGAATTATGTAGGTCTTGAACTACCTACCCACTCTTCTTGTGTGTGAAGGAAATGATAAAGTAAGCTGAACTGAACTGAACTGCTTGTTCAACAGATACCGATCCCGTACGACTGCCTGTAACATCCTCACTCGACAGATCCAGATCCTGTACGTGTGTCATTCTCGGCCGACAGATCCTGGTCCCGTATATCTGTATGTCACAGATCCCGTACGACGGGGAATCTCTCTCAGCCGACAAATACAGATCCCGTTCGACTGTCTGTATGCGCTGTTTCCGGCCGACAGAGCGAGATCCCGTACTACTGTCTGTGTTGTTCTGGCCGACAGATCCAGATCCCGTACGACTGTCTGGTGGGAGACTGGAGCGCCAGCATCCAGACTGTGGCCGACGGCTCCCACGGCCGGCGGCGCGCCGAGTTCCGGTGCCGGGAGAACGTCTACATCCTCTTCAACCCCTGGTGTGAGGGTAAGTAGGGAGCGAGAACGTCTACATCCTCTTCAACCCCGGGTGTGAGGGTAAGTAAGGAGCGAGAACGTCTACATCCTCTTCAACCCCTGGTGTGAAGGTGAGTTACGAGTGTGGGTCGGGAGAACGTCTACATCCTCTTCAACCCCTGGTGTGAAGGTGAGTTACGAGTGTGTGCCGGGAGAACGTCTACATCCTCTTCAACCCCTGGTGTTATAGGGCAAGGAGCGAGAACGTCTACATTACATCCTCTCCCAAATCCGTGTGAAGGTGAGCTGTACATCCGAGTGAGCGTCGACATCTTCTCCAGCCCCGCTGATGTGAATGTGAGTTGGGAGCGAGAACGTATACATCCTGGTGTGACGGTGAGTGGCATTGCCGCGAGAACGTCTACAGGACCCAATCTTACCAAATGCCGTGAATGTGCGCTCACGGGATTTGGTACAATTCAAAACTATTCAACATTCATTTTTTCTCAAATACGTCGAAACACCGGGGGTTGAAATAGTTTTATGTTCTCTGTTGAACGATACGGCTGCACAATATGCAATGCAGAAAATGGCCAAGAAAGAGGTGCCCATGGTCAGCAGGTCGCTATTCCAAATGTATCTGTACTACATAGTAATACGCGTTTATTTAGTCGGGACAACATTTGCTGGGTGTCACAGTGTATGATTGCGATGGCACAGACTACACGTAAGTCACACCCTGCCCTAATGAGGAAGGCACTCGTATTATCACTGACCTTATGAAGGACGCCTAGTGCACGGTTGAACCCATTGGAGCGCTTCATTTAGGCCGGCTAATGCTGCCTGTCGGACAGATCATATCCAGACACCATATCACATCTCAGATTGCCGTCGTGATTGCGGCCGTTTGCTGTGGCAGATAAACGCAGCAACTCGGCCGTCCTCCCTTGAAGTTTATCTCGCCCTCATCCGCTATGCACTGCTGCCCATTCAGAGCAGATAATCAGCTTGTACGGAATTCTGACGTGTCCCATGGTTTACCGTCAAGTACATGACATCAGCGTTCACCATTCCCGGCCTCGCGTGGCTCCCTTCTACGTAGTGGCCGGCGTGGTTTGAGGTAGGTGCTCATAAATACCGAGTTTGTGTAATTATTTGTCGTTTCCCTGAAGCTATTTGCATATGTCATGTGCCTTGATCCGCATATCACGTCTATTTGAATATAATGAGCTGCTAATTGACGGTCGTCCAGTGAGCTACATAACTTTGCATCAGGAAGCGCAAATATCTATGTTTATTTGCTTATACTTATTGTCATGCACAGTTTGCCATGTATTGCGTTCACTGTATTTAAAACATGATAATTTATTAGATGAATCTGCGACAGAAACAAACTTGAGAATTATAGTCAGCCAATGGAGGGAAGGGCTACGTTTCGATAAACATAAGCCAGTGTGTCTTGCATATCTAGACCGGAAATGGTTTGCGAATACTGTTTAGCCAAGTACCGGTCGTTGATGGGACTCACCCCGGTCTGTGCAGCGACCAGGCGGCAGGATGCGTTTCGGTAAGCTGTCGCACAATGATTGGTTATTATCTCTGTTCGAAAATGTGCTCGGCAGCTCCGCGAGTGTGACACATAACTGCGGTTTGGATACCTCGTATCCGACCGAGGTACGAGGGTCGAGGTACGAGGTACGGTAAGGGTCTATGCCGTGTCCCCCAGCTGGTCGCTGGCTGGTATATAGGTATAGGGTGCTGTCGGTTCACTGTCTGAGAGCTGCGATGCTGTGTTGACGACACGCCGGGTCAGCGGAGCAGGGCCTGCGCCTGGCTTCAGCCCAACAGCCGCCGGGCGCCGACATCTGCCGGGACCAGCGCCTCTATATGTGGCACAGATGCGCACGCAATTACTGTAAATCTCGTGCCAGTTTGTTTTAGTTGCGTCACTGGAGCCAACGCATGTTGTCAGCTGTTTGCCTTTGTTTTATGCTGCTTCTTTGAAGTCGCTGGTCTGAGAACTGTAACGACAGATGCGGTCTCATAAACGCTGGATTTTGTACTAACTAACCATCTGCGAGGGCCATTAATGTCTTTCAGCATAGATAACATGAACTACCTGGATTGGACACTCGTTTTTGGCGCCAAAAATAAGAGGCCACTTTGGCCTCTTATTTTTAAAGACGGCCTGTAACACTTTTGAGAGGCTGATATATCAGCAACCACTGGGCCGATTAGCCTGCGGTCTTTTTTGTTCGGTAGCCCCATCCCTTCTGCCCCATAATTGACTTCTCATGATGCGTCTAGGTGACTGCCGTAGCACGTGCCACGTGAAAAGTCAGGGGTGTTCACTGTTCAGGGTATTTTGCATAAGTAGCGCTTTTGCGAGGCTTATATCTCAGCAACCACTTGACCGATGTACATGCGGTAATTTTTGTAGGGTAGCTTCATTCATTTTACCAAGTATTGGACTGTTCCCGATGCATGTGGGTGACCCCTTATGCACGTGCCACGTGCAATACGAAGAAGTGTCAGTTTTGTAACAATTGCAATATCTCGGTAACTACTCGGCCGATTGCGCTGAAACTTGGCATACAAATACGCACCCACCGGCAATGTATATCCATGTGCCAGAAATGGGGTGCTGCTGCACGTGCGCACGTGCAGGGCAGGGGTCGTTTCCAGATCTCGAGAACGGCTGGACCGATGGCGCTCAAATTTGGTACACGGCTAGGGACCAGTTAGAAGGGTGCCGTGCACAAGTCAGTTGGGACCCATATTGCACGTGCGCACGTGCAGGGTGCCGCTTCCAGATCTCGAGAACGGCTGGACCGATGGCGCTCAAATTTGGTACACGGTTAGGGACCAGTTAGAAGGGTGCCGTGCACAAGTCAGTTGGGACCCATATTGCACGTGCGCACGTGCAGGGTGCCGCTTCCAGATCTCGAGAACGGCTTGACCGATGGCGCTCAAATTTGGTACACGGTTAGGGACCAGTTAGAACGGTGCCGTGCACAAGGCAGTTGGGACCCATATTGCACGTGCGCACGTGCAGGGTGCCGCTTCCAGATCTCGAGAACGGCTGGACCGATTGCACTCATATTTGGCACATCGCTATAGACCGGTTAGTAGGGTGCCGTGCACCGAGAAAGTTGTGGCTCTGCGCGTGCTCACGCGCGCACGTGCACACCCCTCCGTCATATCTCGGGAACGGACTGACCGATTGCAATGAAATTTGGTGTGTGGCTGTTTGTTGCTTTTGTTGTGTGACCATGATGCTGACCGTGTATGAATTTTTCTCAGTCGACGAAGGTAAAGTAATGCACGTGCGCACATGCACACCTTATTTATATTTCTTCGAAAATCACCAAATATAACTGGTTTCCACATACATGTTTTGAAAAGCACATTTCATCGCAGTATGAGCACGGTGCACAACACATAAATAAAAGTCGTTTTGGCCTGCTTGACCAAAACAGGCAAGAGTTTTTTAGATGACCACCCCAAACCCGAGGAAAAGTAAGAATGCCCATCCAACCGAGGAGAGTCCCACGATGCCAACCTCTTCGCCAGCGTCTTGTACAAACTAAGCCTATGTATAAAAAACAACGGCATAAGATAAGAGCACTTAACACAATTGTGGGTCACCACACTCCTCACGCTCACGCATGTGGGACTACGGTACGCCCGGTCGGCCAGACTGGGACGGCGCCGTATGACAGTTTCCACAGTCCATGGGAGTCCGTAGGCTATCTGCAGAGTTAGCCCGGATAGGTAAAGGGCGAGGCACGAAAGCACTACCACAGTTCAGTTGAGTTCTCGACAACATGTGCGAGATCGCACACGCCTCTTCGTGTGTGCGCTAGTACCTCTAGGCTCTAGCTCTTCTTGATGCCGGATAGCTTACGCCTCTTATCGTCTGTTGCTTTCTTCGCTGCACAGTTTCCACGTTTGGCATGGATCGCGCTGTTGATGTCCCTCACCATGTTGCCTGCAAACAGGTTAAACAAGGCCCTTGACATACGTTCCAAGCTTTGGGCGAATCCATGCCCCTTGGGGCAGCTTGTATCTCTGACGATGGAGCTTCGTGTCGTGACTGCTTTTACCACGTCGACAAATGCCTCTCTGGGACTAAAGCATTCAAAAAGAAGTCTTTTTGATGCCTCTTTTCGCACGAGTTCTTTCCAGATTCTAAGGATAAGCATCGTGGTTTCTATGGCGAGCGAGGACGGCACGATGAGTCGCCCTCGATCCAATATCTTCGTGAAAGACTGGACGATGCTGTCCTCCTGGTCCTCATTGTTCACTTGAATGGGTATGCTGCCATGCTCTCTTGAGACCAGAACGTCGGAGCACTCCTTGCACTGCCCGTTTTTTGTTGCTGACCGAGCCAGGTATCCGGCGATATGCCCCAGTGCTGCCTTTTCTGAATCAGACGGCTGGTCTTGTTCAGCGTCTTCTGATTCTTCGACAGCTTCTCTCAGCTTGAGTACGGCTGCTGAGTCACCTTGGGCTCTGGTCTTCTGCGAAAGTGCCATTCTGGTCGGTAGTTCGGAGACCTTTACTCCAGACCACCAGATAAGACTGCTGACGCGGATGACCGTTTCGCCCTCCATGAACTGACGTACACTGGCCCAGTAGTTGCTCCCAATTTTTGATCAATTTCGGTTGATCAATTTTTTTCGGCAAAAGATGCGCAAAGGTTGCCCCAGAGGGTATTGAAAATTTCAGCCCGCTACGACAAGCCGTTTAGCGTGCACTTCGAAAAAACCTCAGGGGGTTTATCCCCTAATCGTAAGCCAACTTCGATCAATATCGGGCCTGCTCGTTATTAAGCCGTTATTATGAGGTGTGCACGTGGCACGTGCATATTCACACCCTTCTGAGGCACACAGTCACGACACTTTGTTATCCTTCAATCGCACACCAGCTTTTTATTGAAGGCGGCGTGTCCCATTTTTAGCTGGAACTATGGGATGTGCACGTGCGAACGTGCATTACCTCACCTTCGTCGACTGAGAAAAACTCATACACGGTCAGCATCCAGCCACACACCAAATTTCATTGCAGTCGGTCAGTCCGTTCCCGAGATATGACGGAGGGGTGTGCACGTGCGCGCGTGAGCACGCGCAGAGCCACAACTTTCTCGGTGCACGGCACCCTACTAACCGGTCTATAGCGATGTGCCAAATATGAGTGCAATCGGCCCAGCCGTTCTTGAGATGTGGAAGCGACACCTTGCACGTGCGCACGTGCAATATGGGTCCCAACTGCCTTGTGCACGGCACCCTACTAACTGGTCCCTAACCGTGTACCAAATTTGAGCGCCATCGGTCCAGCCGTTCTCGAGATCTGGAAGCGGCACCCTGCACGTGCGCACGTGCAATATGGGTCCCAACTGCCTTGTGCACGGCACCCTTCTAACTGGTCCCTAACCGTGTACCAAATTTGAGCGCCATCGGTCCAGCCGTTCTCGAGATCTGGAAGCGGCACCCTGCACGTGCGCACGTGCAATATGGGTCCCAACTGACTTGTGCACGGCACCCTTCTAACTGGTCCCTAACCGTGTACCAAATTTGAGCGCCATCGGTCCAGCCGTTCTCGAGATCTGGAAGCGGCACCCTGCACGTGCGCACGTGCAATATGGGTCCCAACTGACTTGTGCACGGCACCCTTCTAACTGGTCCCTAACCGTGTACCAAATTTGAGCGCCATCGGTCCAGCCGTTCTCGAGATCTGGAAGCGGCACCCTGCACGTGCGCACGTGCAATATGGGTCCCAACTGACTTGTGCACGGCACCCTTCTAACTGGTCCCTAGCCGTGTACCAAATTTGAGCGCCATCGGTCCAGCCGTTCTCGAGATCTGGAAACGACCCCTGCCCTGCACGTGCGCACGTGCAGCAGCACCCCATTTCTGGCACATGGATATACATTGCCGGTGGGTGCGTATTTGTATGCCAAGTTTCAGCGCAATCGGCCGAGTAGTTACCGAGATATTGCAATTGTTACAAAACTGACACTTCTTCGTATTGCACGTGGCACGTGCATAAGGGGTCACCCACATGCATCGGGAACAGTCCAATACTTGGTAAAATGAATGAAGCTACCCTACAAAAATTACCGCATGTACATCGGTCAAGTGGTTGCTGAGATATAAGCCTCGCAAAAGCGCTACTTATGCAAAATACCCTGAACAGTGAACACCCCTGACTTTTCACGTGGCACGTGCTACGGCAGTCACCTAGACGCATCATGAGAAGTCAATTATGGGGCAGAAGGGATGGGGCTACCGAACAAAAAAGACCGCAGTCTAATCGGCCCAGTGGTTGCTGAGATATCAGCCTCTCAAAAGTGTTACAGGCCGTCTTTAAAAATAAGAGGCCAAAGTGGCCTCTTATTTTTGGCGCCAAAAACGAGTGTCCAATCCAGGTAGTTCATGTTATCTATGCTTTCAGTCATCTAGTTGCTGCAGCATGTTGCTGTCGTATTATTTAATGTTGTTTAGGTATGATGCCAGTCATCTAGTACGCAATTAATCATTTTAATTCGTATCCCTGTTTATGTCTATCGGGCCTTCAGAAGCCTAGGAGACCACCCATTTAAGTTACGTCCCGTGCATTGCTAGATGTCAGGGGCCTGCCAGTGATCTCTCTCACCCTTTATATTGCATTTGGAGACAGTGAGATCCATAATTACGCATTACGATTGCGTAATGTTGACGTGGATGTATATGAAGACGATTCGTTAATGGCTAACGTATGAAGGTACGAATCATCCATCATAAAGTTACCTTGTGTTAGCCATGAGTTAAGCTCCTTTCAACTATCGAAACGCATAAAATAGTAAACAATTGTGTTTTGAAAAAAGTAATGATGTGTAGTAAATGTGAAACGTTTCAAACCTGCGCAAGCTATCCATCATAACAAATTAGCAAGTTGTCGTGGTAGCAATCAGCATTTTAATATTTATCTACCTAAAGGTCTCCTGATAACACGCCGGCACATTCATATTCATGTATTTGAATTTGGAAACTTCTGCGATTAACTCGGGGCTTTTCAAACTCCCTTCCATTCCCTCGCACGATGGGTAATGCGATACGAGACGCGCAGAGCTGCCGACCACGCGCTGCCGAGAATCCGCACGGAAGCCGGTCGCCGGCGGCTCTGTTATAGCGCAGTGCGTGAGTACGACTCTCTGCCGTTTGACGTCACCGTGCGAAACTTTCGGCGCCAGCTCAAAAAGCATCTATTGAAAGAACAGTGTGAGGCGCATGGTTAGCTCAGGTCGAGTGGTTGAGTGCTGCTTTTTATGCCTGGTCTTTTACTTGTGTTGTAAATGTTTGACGTGTGCCAATGAAAAACCATGCACCATGGATTTGTCATGAATATATTATCTGTATCTGTATCTATCTGATATATAGTTCTAATTGCTTAACCCCACGAGACTACCTATAATGTAGGCCTGCTGGCTGCTAGTCTCTTAAAGCGAACACAAAATTAACACAGTGACAGTGTTTGTATCGCAACGTTTCCTAGAACGACAAATCAGAGTAGGTATAGGTATTGAGTTTATGTTATATTGAGTTTATGAGTTTTAACAAACCGGGCGTAATATCTTTCTGCCAACTATGGGCGTATTCTCAAAGTACCTATGCAAAGGGAAAGGTTGCATGCTACAGTCTGGGGACCGCAGAACCGTTAGGACGATGGTGGCATGTCTTCGTCTGTATCCCTTTCGTCCCGCGGGGCTGTCGGCTCCGTCAGTGTAATTCGTGCAGCGCTGCACCGCCTGTTAGTCTATTTCGGACATCGAGCCCCGTGGGAGTTGGATGGCCTCCCGGCGCGGAAATGTATGATACTGAATGACACCGAGGGGTGTGTTCTGTGTAGTGCTTATTTGTCAGTCGACATTGCTAAAAGCTGAGTTTTCTTCAGTTAAAGAAGAATAAAACAGCCATATGCAATGAAACTCATTAAAAGGTAACCGTCTTGCATACCATTAATGAACCTACGTGAGGTAATAACCGGTAAATAAAATGTTTCCTTTGTTACTTGGAAAGGCTGGATAATGTGTCTTCCTTGAATTCTATTATGAATAGCTCGGGGTCGAAAGGAATGGCAGTTATCAGTAATCACAAGTGGTGTCAGTCGTATGCGTCAACCAAAAACAATACATGATAATTTAGCTTTCATTTTTAGGTCCAAGTTCCAACCTTTCCGGCATTCGCACGTCTTGTGAGTTGGCTAGGCTGCGGTAGGTGAGTCTACCATTTTAGATCGTTTTTTGCTTGTGACCTGGGATGCCATAAGTCCAGCCGTGCCCGAACCCTGGCCGAGCCGAGGTCGACTGTGGGGTGCGAGCTCATTTGAGCATTTGCTGTTACAGCATGCTGTTGCGCCTTTACAAAACACGTTAAACACACCTTGTTTGAGTGTACTCGTATTCCGCCTGGTGGAAGGTCACGGACAAAAACAACACAATTATAAATCACACAATATTACCACGTTCCCGTTTAACGAGCCAATTCGTGGGCGCAGCAACATGCAGCGTAACACCACCGATCCCTAACACGATGGTGGCCTCCGCGTATCCCAGTATGTCGGGTGTTTTTATGGAGGTGTTGATAGCACACTTATTTATCGAACATTGTCCCAAAGTTGAAGGCCCGTCACTACTTTCAACTTTGCCAGTTTATGCTGAGTTCCAGCACCAGTTTGTTCTGTTGACGGGTCAGAATTCGGTCCTTCCGGCTCGTCTGTCCTTTCCTGGTCGTGTCTTGTTGAAAGGTCAGTTCGGTTCCTCCCGGGCCGTCCGTCTATTCCTGGTCGTGTTTTGTTGACAGGTTAGATATGTCCCCCCTCCGGGCCATTCGTCTATTCCTGGTCGTATTCTGTTGAAAGGTCAGTGCGGTCCTTTCGGGCCGTCTCTCCACCCCTGTTCGTACTTTGTTGACAGTGCGAGCGGCTCACGTACCGTTCCGCCGTTCGTATTTTATCGCTGCTCACTCAGTTCACTGCCGCCCAGTGCACGCTCGGTTTGACCCCTTGCCGGTGACCCCGTATCAGGTCACCGGCACAGTTCCGCACTTACTCACGGTTCACTGAGGGGCTGGATGCCGTGAGCTCGTCCCCCGTCACTCGTCAGAGACTGATGTAGCTGCGACTCTGAAAGTTGTGCAAGCGAAAGTACTGCGGAGAGCTTCACCGCAGGCGGCATTGATATACATTCATATTCAGCATCGGCGTGTGATTATCGATCACGTAGCTTTGTGAAGCATGCCATTATGAGCAATTGTCTTGTAGGGCGTTTCACTTTGCACGCGATTCCCATGACCATTTCGTCTGTTCCCATCAGCACAAATTACTGTTTTCCAGTTTCATAGCATACCTAATAACTATGCCGGTCTTGCTGGTATCGAGCGTCGTTAAAACGCACTGCGATCGAGGAAACGTGTTTCATATTTGACCTCTGACACTCCGAGAATCGGGCGTGGTGTGACGTCACTCGAGTTCGGGAAGAGGCGTGAGGTCACGTGACTCATAAACGGCCCGTGAGCAGCTCGAGACGTGAGCGGGATGCACAAACACACTGCAGCGTTCAGGAAACGGCTACGGAGCGGCTGGCTTGTCTGAGCCGTTGAGTGTTGAGCCATCAGAAGGTGGATGGCCGGCTTCCATGGGAGAGTGCAATTCATCTGTTACCGTTTACCATATAGAAATCAGGTGACAGGGGTGAGCATCAGTGTGAAATACGGGAACTTTTTTATTTGAGCATTATTATTGCATCATTGCGTTCGACCAGTGCCCCCTCCCCCTTGCTCTGCCCCCGCTGACCTGCCCCGCCCTCCCGGACAGAGGACCCGTGCTACATGGAGAACGAGGCAGAGCGAGATGAGTACGTCACCAACGACAACGGGAAGATATTCGTGGGCGCGCACAACCGCTACAAGGGCCGCCACTGGGTGTTTGGCCAGCACGACAACGCCGTGCTGCCGGCCGTGCAGCTGATTCTGGAGATGTCCGGCCTGTCGCACGCTGAGCGCGGCAGCCCCGTCAAGGTGGTGCGCGCCATCACCGGCGCCGTGAGTAAACTCTAGTTACACAGCTCACCGCCGCGCGGCGCTACGTGTGCAGCGCCGCTGCGGTACGAGGCTCCTGCTGACTGTGGACCTCTGCTAAACGAGCTTTGTCGCTGGAGTCATTTGTAAGCATGTTTTTTACTTATTAGAAGACGCAAATATTAAAAAGTCCTCCCAACATTTAGCGAACAGCATAAATTGAGGTCATTGAATGCTATTCACTGCCGAAATTTTTACGGATTGCAATTAGGTATGCACGTTGGCATTGTAGCATTAGGTATTGTTCTTTTTTACAATTCAGACTTAACCAACACCCAAAGTGAACTTTTGCTGGCCTTAGAAGTTTCCACTTTGGAAACTTCTAAGTGGGCATGCCTACATCTTTGAATCTCCTAAGTGGATCGGGGCTGCGTCGAATGGCTTGAAACGTAGGTAGGTACCTACAAAAAAAAAATGAAATCCACAAAGACCAAATCAAAATGATCTACTGCACTGGTCTCCTGACAGGGCTTTAAATCCAATTTCAACACATAACTCCATGATTTTGCTATACATGTCCATTTGTCCCTCACGATTCATTGACGTTTCATGCATCGCTAAGAAGCCTAATGTAAATGCCGTAGATAGATTTAACTGCACAGTTCGCCTGTCACGAATAAATTCGATCACCGGCCTAGACCTGTTCAAATTGAAGTCATACTCGATGCCTGGTTCGACCATCTATAACTAACACTGGTCACAAACTGAAGCCGGTATCGGGCATGAAATGGTCAGAATGGCCGAAATGCCCAAAATTCAACAATCAATCAATCAATCAAGCAGCCGGTATCATGACATTGACTCATTCATTTCACATCACATTTTCGACCCCAGCCGGACTTCACAGCGCACCATCTGACTGGAGCCGATCTGTCTGATTAATCTGACAATGCTAATTCCTCATCACGACACCTGACTATCTGGCCTTAGCTTACCTAGACCCGATATTCCCAACCTAGTGCAACCCGAACCATGTGAGCCGGACCTCTTATAAGACCCTACGATAACTCGTGATCTGGCACCCTTAACTAATGTCATCTGACCCTGTCATTTTATGACCTGACCCCTGCAACCTGAAGTCACCTATCCCATATGATATGATAGCTTAACCCATGTGGCCTAATGTGCCCTGACCCAATATGACCTGATGTGACCAGACCTCTGTGCCCTGATATGACCTGGCCCGTGTGACCCGATGTGATCTAACCCCTATGACCTGCTGTAACCTAACCTGGCCTGACCCCTGGTCCCCTGTGACCTAATGTGACCTGACCTCTGTGCGTCCGCAGCTGCACTCGGAAAATGAGGGCGGCGGCGTGCTGGAGGCCCGCTGGAACGGCCAGTACGAGGGAGGAGTCTCGCCCTGGACCTGGACGGGCAGTGTGCGCATCCTGGAGCAGTTTCTGCGCAGCGGAGGCGCCACTGTCAAATACGGCCAGTGCTGGGTGTTTGCCGGACTGCTGACTACAGGTGAGGACAAAGGCGGCGGGGATCGACGATTTGGAAAGGTATTGCTGACAGTGCAATTACCAACCATATTGTATGTAGGTACCGTGTGACGACAGGTATATATAATCGCTATTCTATTGATGCCGAGATATGTGCGGTATGTAAGACGTTGTGATATTGCCCCGTGTAACATTCCGAATGTTTCTTTGGGAGAAATGAAGAGACATATCATTAATAATCGATTTCAATATTTCACCAATGATTTACCTGCCGATCACCGATTTTTTCTCATTTAAAATTGATATAAAAGACTTTCTGGACAAACATTTTCGTATGTAGTTATGAAAAAATGATCCATAAAATGGTTTATTAGACATCTGCGCCACTCAAAGTGTCACCCACCGTCTAGCGCCCAAAGAGGTCATCCAGTGATGGCCGCCAGAGTACCCCATCTGTGGCGCTGACCGCTGTATGTACAAACAGCGCCTCTGAGCCGACCAGCGGGTCGTTCCCACAGTAATGCTGGATAGGCTCTCTCAGTAACCCTTGAGGCTCCTCTCTGACGACTGACACTCGTCCCTGTCCAGTGTGCCGAGCTGTGGGTATTCCGTGTGGATACTCCTCTCCTCTCCTCTCCCTGACACCGTCCGTGTCTCTCTGTTACAGTGTGCCGAGCTGTGGGCATCCCGTGTGGATGCCCCTCCCCTCTCAGCTCTGACACCGTCCGTGTCTCTCTGTTCCAGTGTGTCGGGCTCTGGGCATCCCGTGTGGATGCTCCCCTCCTGCCCTCCACCCTCACTCTGACACCGTACCGTCCATGTCTCTCTGTTCATGTGTGCCGAGATCTGGGCATTCCGTGTGGATGCTCCTCCCCTCCCTCCCTCCCCTCTCAGCTCTGACACCGCCCCTCTCCACTGTGCCGAGCTGTGGGCATTCCGTGTGGATGCTCCTCTCCTCCCCTCTCCCTGACACCGTCCGTGTCTCTCTGTTCCAGTGTGCCGAGCTGTGGGCATTCCGTGTGGATACTCCTCCCCTCCCTCCCTCCCCTCTCAGCTCTGACACCGTCCGTGTCTCCATGTTACAGTGTGCCGGGCTCTTAGCATCCTGTGTGGATGCTCCCCTCCTGCCCTCCGCCCTCACTCGGACGCCTTCCGTGTCTCTCTGTTACAGTGTGCCGACCTCTGGGTATCCCGTGTGGATACTCCTTCCCTCTCAGCTCTGACACCGTCCGTGTCTCTCTGTTCCAGTGTGCCGGGCTCTGGGTATCCCGTGTCGGCCCGTCACCAGCTTCGTGTCGGCTCTGACACCGTCCGTGTCTCTCCGTTACAGTGTGCCGAGCTCTGGGCATCCCGTGTCGGCCCGTCACCAACTTCGTGTCGGCTCTGACACCGTCCGTGTCTCTCCGTTACAGTGTGCCGAGCTCTGGGCATCCCGTGTCGGCCCGTCACCAACTTCGTGTCGGCTCTGACACCGTCCGTGTCTCTCCGTTACAGTGTGCCGAGCTCTGGGCATCCCGTGTCGGCCCGTCACCAACTTCGTGTCGGCTCTGACACCGTCCGTGACTCTCTGTTACAGTGTGCCGGGCTCTGGGCATCCCGTGTCGGCCCGTCACCAACTTCGTCTCGGCCCACGACACCGACGGCACCCTCACCGTCGACAAGTTCTTCGACCTCTTCGGCACCGAGATCGAGGTCAGGGCGGCTGACGGAGAATCGAATATCTTGGGTAGGATTTTCGCTCACCGGTAATCAATATGCATTTTGATATAGCAACTATGTTTTACTTCGATCTCGCTATGTTTTATGGTATTTATTGTTGTTTTGTGAATACATCTTTTTAGAACCTCATGTGCTCAATGATGTAATTAGCTTATACAGTGGAAACGCAACACCTAATAACAGTGATAATTTAGTAAGAGCAGCAGCAAGCTTTCATGGTTCATTGTACAAATTTTTCTTGTAAGTTGTATGACCCAGTCATATGAAACTCCTTATTTGATAAACGACTGTATCGCCGACGATAACGGCATGGCACGCTGCCAAATAGCAGACGGGTTATATGGCCTTGAGCAGGCGTATCCTCTGCGGCGGGAACGTCGCACCACCCCTCTCCACCCCCCCCCCCACCGCTGACCGCCCCCCTCCCACTCCACAGCACGGTCCGAACGGCGACGCCAACGACTCGCTGTGGAACTTCCACGTGTGGAACGACGTGTGGATGTCTCGGCCGGACCTGCCGCAGGGCTACGGCGGCTGGCAGGCGGTGGACGCCACGCCGCAGCAGGAGAGCGAGAGTGAGTGGAGCGGGGAGGGAGAGAGAGGAAGAGGAAATGAGCGAGAGGGAGTAGAGCAGAGAGACGGGAGAGTGATTGCAGCGGGGAGAGGGGAGAGAGAGGGAGAGGAAGGAAGCGAGAAGGAGTGGAGCAGAGAGAGGGAGAGAGAGAGGGGGAGAGGGAGAGAGAGAGAGAGAGAGAGAGAGAGAGAGAGAGAGAGAGGAGAGAGAGAGAGAGAGAGAGAGAGAGAGAGAGAGAGAGAGAGAGAGAGAGAGAGAGAGAGAGAGAGAGAGAGAGAGAGAGAAAAGGAGAGAGAAAGCAGGAGCGAGAGGGAGTGGAGCATAGAGAAGGGAGAGAGAGGGAGGGCGAGAAAGAGAGAGAAAGAGAGAGGGAGAGAAAGAGAGTGAGAGAAAGAGAGAGCGGGAGCGAGATGGAGGGCGAGAGTGAGTGGAGCAGGGAGATGGAGAGAGGGAAGGAGAGGTGCTGAAAAGATATGTGTTTAATCTCGCCTCTCGCAATTTCTGCTTAGAACTTTCCACAATACATCAGCGACTTTATTTCGTTTTGGCAAATGCTTCCACTCGCTGCAATGTGTTTTATTAAAGCCGGTTTAAAATGGTCGAGTAGCGCCCTAATTGCGCCCATCCTTCACATGCACATGTCATGACCAAGCGAGCAGTGCGGCTGACACCGCAATTATGGGCTAACAGATTAGCAGGAAAAGGCTCCCCTGCCTTCAGTGTATGAGGGCTTTCATCATGACTCCAAGGTGGATATGATAAGTGCCTCAAACCAGAGCCGCCAAATGCGTACGGCGGGGCGGATACTAGTTATTTCCGTTTGTACGTGTTTCTTCTTCTTCTTTTTTGTCGATCATTGCGCACATGAGATTTATTTGGAAGCGGGGACGTGGTCTTCACTATATGCCCTGATCTTGACGTATTACCAGAAATAAACCGTCAAACCTTTCCAGCCCATGTTTATTCTCTGAAACGCGCAACCGATTTATTTATACTAATAAGTTAATCTGGTACGTAAATGTTATTTGATTAGATCGTGCAGCCCATTTCTTGACGTTGGGTCAGATTCACAAACTGACTTGACATATATCGAAAGATGGTCCCAGACAAGTGGCGTTTCGGATGTCCCGTAAGATGCAGTTTTGCATGTTGAATAACAACACTGGCGAGCTCCATGTTTGTACCTTATTTCCCCGGTTCTCACTGTCCCGGATAACAGATCCCACAGACACAGATCCCAGTGCAGTCTGTGTGAGTAGGTATGTTTGCATGTACCTCACCTTCCCGGTTCTTCCCTGTCCCAGATAAGTTCCAGTGCGGCCCGTGCTCGCTGGAGGCCATCCGGCGGGGCGAGGTCGGCTTCGGGTTCGACACGACGTTCCTGTTCTCTGAAGTGAACGCAGACCTGGTGCACTGGAGGGAGGACCCCGACAGCGACTGGGGATTCAGCAAGATGAAACGCGACCACTACCAGTGAGTGAGAGGGACACTAATAGTGAGTTAGAGGGGCACTACCAATGTGTGGGAGGGGCTCTACCAGTGAGTGAGAGCCGAGAGGGACACTAATGGTGAATGAGTGGGGCAGACGTAACCCTAGGGGACCCCGACAGCGGAGATTCAGCAAGATGAAACGCCACCGCTACCAGTGAGTGAGGTGAGAGTGAGGGGGGGGGGGCATTACTATGAATGGGGCGGACCTCCTCCAGTGCCAGTGCGCCGAGACCTTTACCACTGAGTCAGAGAGGTCACCACGAGTGATGCGTGTCTATTGCATGCAGCTGTTGTCTGGCCGCCACTAATCGAGTGCTGTGAAACCTGTTGTTTAGGCGCTATGTGAATGCCCGCTGTCTTTGTGCGTGTACTGACGCGATCCGCTGTCCCGTAGTGTCGGTCGGTCAGTGCTGACCAAACGCAGCGGACCCACCCACGACGATGACGACCAGGACATTGAGAACATCACGCACTTGTACAAGGTGAGGCGTCTGACTTCGGCACTGTGGCCGCGGAGCCGCAGTTAGAACGGTGTATTCCTTAGGCCTCGCTAGTTTTGACGTTTTACAGTTGAATGATAATGCAATTTAGACGTTGAATGCTACAGTCAGTTACCTTTGCGTTGTATCAGACGTCTATAGGTACTCGATTATTCCTTCATTTTTTATTTGATTTTTGCTTTCTTTATTATATTTATTTATTCGTAACTTCGTTACCCTGTTATCCCTGACCCGTGACCCGTGACCCCGCGCTGCAGAATCCCGAGGGCACCGCCGCCGAGCGGCTGGCCGTGTTCAACGCGGTGCGCGGCACTGCCGGCGCGCAGAAGTACTTTGACTACCCGGAGAGCGGCCAGGAGGACGTGACCTTCGAGCTGACCGACATCGACCAGGTCATGATCGGCCAGCCGTTCCACGTCGACGTCAGCATCGTGGTAAGAAGGCTGAGGCGCCCCAGGTAGCAGGGATGGGGTCATTGCATGGTAGCCGAGTCATTGCAGTGGTGCGGTTATTGCGGTTACCCGGTTACTGTGGTTGACGGTTACTACTGACGTTATGGCTAGAATTAACGAGCTATGGAGTTAAGTTATTATGGGTAACATGTCAGGCAAAATGTCGAGCTAAAATGTGTTTTGAGCGTGTAGTTTCTTTTCCCTGCAACACTATGAATAGTGAATACCACCTTCATATGTCATTTCCAGTCAGCACACTGGCTCTGAAATGGCGGCTTTCTTCTGTATTGTCTTCGAGCTACAATATAGGCTACAATATCCCAGTAAGTAGTGACAGTCCCTGTGTCTCTCTCCGTCAGAACAACGCTGAGGAGGAGCGTACCATCAAGGTATCGCTGCACGCCAACAGCATGTACTACACGGGCATCAAGGCCATGGACATCGTCACCGACCCAGTGCAGGAGTTTGTGCTTCAGCCCGGACACAGTGAGTGCAGTGCAAGGAGGGAAAGAGAGGGGCAGACCAGAGGGAGAGCGACAGAGACGGACGGACAGAGGATGAAGGCAGACGTGTGTTTAGTTGGCGAAGCCTTTGCATATAGAAGGTGAAGACTTTTGCCTAAGGCGGAAAGTGGTTTCTTTCCAAATATATTACTATACGACTTTTCTTATATGTACTTTTCCATAATACATATACGACTATGTAGATCGCGAGAATTGCGAATACCTATGTATATGTAACGTCCGACATTGATTTCGTTCGAATCCTCAGGCCTCCCATGGGCATGAAATGGTCTATTCGGCCGAAAAGCCCTAAATAGAAACAAAGACAAAGACAAGGCCTCCCACAGTCATATTAAAGGCCCAATGATGGGAACTGAAAAAGGGACGATAGATATTGTTCGGTACGTTAGAAAATTAACGTTAAATGTAGCTAGGAAAAAACTTGTACCGCACATCGAAGTTAATTTTCATCAAGATTCAAGATGGCACATGCCGATCAATTTCTTTGATCTTGACATGGAACCCGATTATACCCTCATAGTACACCTATTACCTAACCCGCATTCACGGTGTGTTTTTGCCTTTCAGCTTATATGCGGTAAAATTAGCATGAGATTTTGGTTTTCTTTAAAGGGACCCTCCCAGTTCCCACGTTCAAAAAAGTTTATGAATTGGCATGAAAGTGATGTCGCTCGGTTCAGAAAGAGCGAAAACGAATATCCACCAAATTTCACCGAAAAATATTCACCGGTTTTCAAGATATTAGACTTTTACTTTTGTTTACTTTTTGGGATCTCCGCTGTTCCTAGCGACTTTACTTGGAAGCAATAGTTTGGCAGCTGAAAGTGCGGCACTTGTTGCGCGCAAAGCAGCATATACCACCGCTTGCTACAAAACGTTTTAGTCAAACATTTAAAAATCGTTAGAAATCTGCGCTGACGTCACACATTCAGAGGGGTATTCATATGCATTAGCCCCTCTGAATCAAGATGCTGCAATTTTGAAATTCAATATTGCCGATTTAAGGCATTTCTCGATGTTGTGAGTGCCGAAACCGGTAATTGTGAGCCAGGAACCCCATTTTGGCTATCTCAACTCAAATCTAATGTTAAGGTGGGAGGGTCCCTTTAAAGGGAAGCACTTATGAAGACTGATAGTGGCAAAGATTATGAACAATGAGTTAAATGCTGCAAGGATTATTAAGTCTCGTAATTTTGATTGGCATGCGACGCATTGGAGCATAAGAAAATGCCCTGAAAAGTTAATTTTACGATGTTATTATTCAGTCACCGCCCGCCCCCGCCGGAGGCTCTGGGTCGTCGGAAGGGGGTCAGGGGTCACGCTCGACGCCCCGTGGCGCCGTGGGAGGTCACTGACCCCTGACCGGCCGCCGCCGCCAGGCAGGGCTGTCACTGCCGCGGCGTGACAAGACACTGCCTCTGAGGCGGCCGGTGACGGCTCGGGTGCGGTGCGAACCAGACCGCCACTAATGGGATCTGCAGTGGAAACTGACAACCGCGCTGTGAACTGCAGCGGAGACATTGCAAAAAGTGACTGAGGGGAACGAGCGAACTAGTGCGCCAAGTCATCCTAACGGAGCCACAAAGAAGGGAAAGTCGGGTTTCGGAGCTGGAATCGGTGGCTGTTGTCGAATATCGCATCTAAGTTGTTAATTAACCACTAATTGTCATCCCAACACACGATGGTGGTATATTCATGAGTGTGTTATATAGCGGAGGCAGAGCGCGCTAAACACTAACGACCTTTCCTTCGTTGACTCCCCTCTGATCTCTGTTTTCTCTGTTCTCCAGCCGAGAAGATGGTGGTCGAGATCACGCCGGAGCAGTACATGGACAAGCTGGTCGACTACTGCATGGTGAAGATCTACGCCATGGCTAGTGTCACGGAGACGCGCCAGGCCTGGAGCGAGGAGGACGATTTCGTCATCTCCAAACCCAAACTCAGCATCCAGGTGAGGCCGACCATGCTAAGAACCAGCAGCACCTAAATGCATCGACATCGTAAACATTAGCCCGCGCGATTTAGTTCCTCACTTCATTGTTCTCACCTTTGAATTGTTAACTAAACTAATCACCGCCCAAAGATCACCCCAAACTAGCCGATTATCGAGCGCTCGGTGGCGCGCTCGTCCCGACTGCCCCGCGCAGCCCGCACAAATTCCGGCTAGTGTACTTACAGTGTACTTACACACAGCGAGTGGGCGCGTGGGCGGCCAGAAATAATGCGATCTCCATGTCACGGGGCTCGCAGGGCGGGCGAATTTCCCGCGAGACTGACGTACGAGTCCTGCAGGCCATTAGGCCGGCCGCCGGCTGCCCAGAAACGCAGAGCCAATGCTCCACTTAGTTCGCGCCCCGTTTAACGCTATTACCATTCGCGAAACGAAGTATCGTCGAGGTCGAGACTTTCCGGCGTGAGCGCGAGTTATCGACATTGGAGTGGGTAAAATCGGGAGGTGCATTATCCACGCAATCCCTGCAATGGCTCGGAAATTAAAAAGCCTGTTTTCGATGGATGTTCAATTCAATTCCTAAATAATCCAAAAAGTTTAAAATGAATATGTCAGTGACTAGGGACAATGTTCGCTACAGGTTATAAATGACTTTCGTCTAATGATGTCGCTTCAATGACGCAAAATTATTGCTTTTTCCACGCGTTACGATAGGTAATAATTTTAGGTCTCTTATGGATTTTAGGCTTGGAACTGGCATTTGTTTTCCTCTGCGTAGGTATGTATCAGCGTCAATTGCACGCCAGTGGCACACGGCCCGCAAGCCACCCAAGCTTTACGGCAAATTATCAGTTTGAGTGCCTAACTGCCTACTATCTACCATGTCCGTTTCATTGTCCATGACACCATCTGACCCCATCTTTACCCCTAATGACACCACCCATATTTTTAATGAAGTCATCTGACCTCTATGTAGTGACGTCATCCTACCATCAGTGGCGTCACCCGTACCTTCAGTAACGTCACCCATGCCCTCAGTGACGTCACCTGTTTCCTCAATGACGTAACCCGTACCCTCATGAACGTTACGGCTTACTGTTTCCGGTACCGTCCCCGTGGGCTGTTGCTGTATCAGGAGGATGGGGCCGTGCGCGGCGGGCCAACGCCCGCAGTGTCGTCACTGCACTGGCCAGCAGTGTGGTTACTGCTGGTTCCGTGTGTTTTGGGCGAGCGGTGTCGTCACTGGCCAGCAGTGCGGTTACTGCTGGCTCCGTGTGTTTTGGGCGAGCGGTGTCGTCACTGGCCAGCAGTGTGGTTACTGCCGGTTGTTTCTGTTTCAGTTGGACGGGCCGTGCGTGGTGGGCCAGCAGTGTCTCGTCAATTTCTCGTTCGTCAACCCGCTGAGCGTGCCGCTGACGGACTGCATGTTCAGCTTCGAGGGCTCCGGCCTGATCCGACCCAGCGTCTCCAAGCTGCGGAGGTCAGTCGGGCAGGGCAATAGGCACGGGTATCAGGAATAAAGAAATATCATAAAAGACGTTCGAGGTCCCCATAATTTCCAGCTTTGCATGCTTCTCTGTGATTGGTTCTTCCAGTTCCGAACCGTTTTACGGAATCGGCCGGTGTATGGGATTTCAATAAGAGGGATGGCTGGGATGCATGCTCCCCTCGTATATTGTTTACGGCAGCGATCCACATATATCCGCCACCTGCTGCAGGTACTCCGGGTTCGCTCAGGGATGGCCGTTCCCGATGCCCCGCTTTGTGCTCTCTGAAGATGCGGTTGGTCCCTGGTGAGCGGATGGAGTCGATAAAGTTGCTGTTTGAAGCATACCAAAAGGAGCGCAGTAGCGTCAATTTGTGGGCTTAACACGTTTAAACGTATCGTATTTTTGCCACATCGACGACTAGTGGAACCGTTGAGGTTCGAGTTGAGGATAAGCTTACTATTTGTGAGTCAAACACCGGTAAATTTGCTGCACGGTTCTCTGAGATTTTTAAATGTTATCTTTTCTAAAGCTACGCTATCAGCAAAAAAAAAAACTATAGCAAGAAAAGAACGAAGAGTGACAAAATAAGTCAAAATTAAAACTTAACAGAGCTTTGGTATGCAAAGTAACAAACTTTCTGGTCCAGACCTGCACTGCCAAGAAATTGAACTTCGCTTGTTGATCTGCTGCTGCAGTCTGCAGCCTGTAGTTGTGTAACCATTCGGCGGTTTTGGAACTATGTATTTGACCCAATCACATAAATCGCCGTGATGGGATGCCGCCAGGGAGGCTGGTGCGTCCATGGGAACCCCTGGAGATCGGGTGGGGGACGGCGCTCGGTCCAGTATTGAGCGCTCACCAACGGGTTCTCAGCCTCGTGTTTGTTCCGGGCACACAGTACCGGGCAGCTCCGGCAGCTCCGTTACAGCTACTGGTCCGATGAGCCAAACAGGTATTTACGCTGTCTCTCGGATCGTGCCGCGAATATGACGCCGGAATTGAACGGGTCCATCTCATTCCGGGTAACTCGAATCAGGCTTGATTCTTTTACTGTGTTAGCATTAGGCGCTCTCCTTGCTGTGTCAATATGTTTGATTTTGTCAACACGTTATCAGTATGTCCTAAAAGCCTAAAAGCTTCAAGAAATAACAAGTTGATCAGAAAGCAATCTCAAAGTGCCGACAAACAGGCGCGATGAAGTAGCTGTTTCTATTTGCAATGTCTGGGCGTGGCGTATCCCATTGCAGCAGTCAGCGACCAGAGTTTGGGGCGGACGGCTGCGGCAGCGGCCGTTTTGACGGTGGAATACGAAACCAATCGGTAGCGCTGCGGAGACACAGTGCCGCATATCGGAACACGCAGCACAGATAGTCGCGCGCCGGGTCGAGCGCTATACAGGCGAACCCCGGCCGCTCCGCGGTTTTTTAGCATTTTGAGCGGGAAAAACTTCGGTGTGTTTGGAATCATGTGTTCTCAGTGTTCTACTACTTGCCCTGCATCTGCATTGAAGTCACCAGACCTGTGAGTGAACTGATCTGGATATTATTCATTGCTTAAAATTTTTGGTACCCGTCACCCGTGCTGCTGTCGTGAAGCCACCAGAAAATTCATCGTAGAGACGCAATCATTGTCAGTTGAAGATTGATGCATTTTTGAAAGACGCATCCAACGGTGTTATTTTTATGCGTCTATCTGCTCTCGCTTGCAAGAAAATCGCCAATATCTGCAGGACTATTTCCTTTCCGACGCGGATGCTTTCAACGACTTCTCCGCCCTCTGCCAACCGTCCTCGGTTGTCATGGCGACCAACCCCTACCGGGACCGGCCGGCGCCTGAGACGCCGGTAGCCGGCTAAACGAACAATGCCGGCCGACCCTTCCCCCCTGCCCCGGCGGCCCGCTCGGCGCGGCCGCCGCGCGGGCTGGCGCGCTCGGCGTGCGAGGGGACATGGGAGCAGCGGACAGCTGACTGCTTCCGGCACTGGGGCCCCGAACGGGTCTCGCCGTGTAGAGTGCCAAACACCGGCCAGCGACCACCGACGGGACGATCACACTGCTGAATCTGCCAGACGTGCATACGACCGGGCACATCTGATGGCGGTGCGTGACCGACTAAGCAACGACACCACTCGTGAAGTAGCCGAGACTATCCGGCGCAGTCTTCCCGCGTATCTCATCCGCTGTCTTAATCGATCACGCCCCCTCAGCCCTGCGGAAGCGGCATGTGGACCTCGCCCCGCATCGAGGACTCTCCAGTCCAGCCGGCCGACCGACCCGCCCAAATTGCTGATCGGCGCCCTAAATATTCAAAGTATCAAACCCAAACTTCAAGAGCTGACCTGCGAACTCGCTCGCCGCAACTACGACGTAATGGTGCTTTCCGAGACCTGGCTACGTCCGTCTACCCCGAAACGCCTCCTGGTCATTCCGGGCTACTCGCTCAGTCGTGTGGACCGCCCAGATGGCAGCGGATATGGCGGCGTAGCCATCATCACTAAAAACAGTTTGACGTCAATGACACTGAAGATCCCCGGCAGCGGGAGCTCCGAAAGCAAGCTGGAGTCGCAGTGGGCGCTGCTGAAGCTGGACAAGGGCCAACAGATAATCATCTGCTCCCTTTATCGGCCACCCCGACACTCTGAGGCTGCCCTGCTCGCCGACTTCACGGACCTCGAGGCCCAGCTGCAGCGGGTCCTCATCGATTACCCCAGAGTTCCGTTCGTTCTCTGCGGGGACCTCAACTGTGACCTATTGAAGGGGCCGAATTTCCGCGCGTCTCAACATCTGATCAGCTTCTTATCGAATTATTCTTTAGATCAACTAGTAACAAATCCAACTTTTACCTCCGGCTCTCTATTGGATGTATGTATTGTTAACAAACGCGAACTTGTGTGTGACACCAGCGTTAATTATTGTCACTTCAGTCCCCATAAAATCATCGACGTGATTGTCAATGTGCCGAAAGTGCGTCAAAAGCCCGCCGTTATCTCATCTCGCTCTTTTAAGCGCCTAGATCACCCTGCACTGTATCACGACTTACTCGATGTCGACTGGGATTATATCTTCTCTGCCGAAACTGTCAGTGACAAGTGGCATGCTTTCTTGTCGTTCTTCGTACCTGTTTTTGATGCCCATGCCCCAATCAAGCGTGTGTCTATCCGTAACCCGACCGCTCCTCCCGTCTCCGCCGCCACCCGTAACCTCATGTCTCAACGTCGCGCTGCGCTTCGCCATCTAGGCCGCAACTCGAGCGAATACAGAGACCTAAACCGCTCAGTCCGGGCGGCAGTGCGTCGAGACAGGCGAATAGAGATACGGAGGGAAATTGGGGAGCGGGGCCCCAACAAAGTTTGGCAGTGCATCAGGTCAGTGGTAGCCGCGAAGAAGGACGGCCCAGACGTCCAGCCCGATCTATCTGCCGATGATTTAAATTCATTTTTTGTATCTGTCGGTCCTCGTGTCGCTGACGAGATCCGAGCCCAAAACACTCCCACCGATTTGGATGTGCGTCTCACCCGTGTCGGCGCATGCAGTTTTCAACTTCGTGAGATAACACTGGGGGAGCTCGAGCGGATTATTTTCAGCATGCGTAACTCGAGTGCCTGCGGCTCCGATAACGTGTGTGTCCGCATGCTGAAATTCGGATTCCCCGCTATTGGTGGTGTCATCCTGCATATTATCAATACCTGCTTAATCCAATCTGACATCCCCGATTCATGGAAACATTCCATAGTTCACCCTCTGTTCAAGTCTGGTAACCCTTCAGACCCCGCAAACTTCCGACCCATTTCCCTAGTTCCTGTAATCATGAAAGTAGTTGAACGCATTGTCCATCAGCAGCTCTACGCCTACCTCTCCCATAATCACCTTCTGGCATCCTCCCAGCACGGCTTCCGCCCCCGGCACTCCACGGAAACCGCGTTGCTGTCTGTCACTGAACACATCCTGGCCGCCACTGATAGGGGGGATTTGTCAATGCTATGCCTTCTCGATCTCAGTAAATGTTTCGACGTGATTGACCACGATCTTCTGATGCAAAAACTGATGTTACACGGCATTGAAATTTCCTGGTTCGCCGCCTATCTACATGGACACACTCAGAGCGTGTCTTTGAAAGATGTATCCGGACGTAGAGTGCTGTCTAGGCCTCTTTCTAATGCCATGGGTGTCTTCCAGGGCTCTGCGTTAGGGCCGCTTCTTTTCACCATTTTCTCTAACAACTTATCGCTATACGCGGGCGACGCAAAAGTGTTTCAGTACACTGAAAAAAATTTTTACTCACTTTTCTGAGTAATGACTGAGTTGCCATTTTGTCCAATGGTAAAACTCACTCTAAATCCGCGTACTCAGGTAAAACTCAGGGCGGAACGCAGGTAAAACTCGGGCAAAACTCATTGCAAGTGAGTAGCATGTGAGTAACAAAGTGAGTTGCCATTTTGTCCGATGGTAAAACTCAGATAAAACTCAGTAAGTACTCATGCGTAACTCATGTCCTACTCAGACAACTCAGGCCAAACTCAGGTATTAGTAAGTCATTACTCATGAAAAACTAGGAAGTAACTCACATGTAACTCAGCTGGTACTAATGTATAACTCAGGTGGTAGTACGGCCATAACTCAGTTGGAACTCATCGGTTATTCAGTGAAAACTAGGGCTGTACTCAGGACGTACTCACGTCGATAACTCATACGATACTCGGGTGTTACTCAGGCGCCGCCTGAAACGGCTGATCGGATTCGTTTTATATTGGCTCAAGCCAATGTATAGGCTCGCCGCCCATGATAACAGCTGCCGCATCAGCATTATGCAATATGCATGCATGATGCTCATACAACAGCCACTACCAGGCAGCTAGTCTATATATTGGGATTGGCCAATATATAACGAATCATTGCCCAAAACCAGCATACATATCTGTATTATACCATGCCCGACCAACGTCTAGTCTTGCACTATTCGCCCCAGCCCTTACAAGAAATACATGTTTGTA